TTGCATGAATCTTGATAAATCTACCTAGGTCAGGAAGCTAAGAACATTTGTGATAATGCTATCGAATGATGATGACTTTACTGGATGCTATCGTGAAGCATGCGTGGTGTGGGAATAAGATTTCATGATAAGGGGTTCCTAAGGGAAGAAGGATATGGTTATGTATGTGTGAATGAAGTGTGTGAAAGTGATACTAAGGCTAGCTGCAAAGGCTATAGCGATGGGAATATACGTGAGAAGAGTCAAAGATGATGACTTTTTAGGCTAGGTAAGCTACGTGATGTGGGTTCAAGCCCCCAAGTCTAGCTCTAGATGGATAAGGATAAGCATTGGATATTCTTTAACTTGATCATGCACGGATGTGAATGTGAATGTGGCCGCACCTCGATTTGAGGTTGCCTACGTATCCGTTAAGAATCAGACCGAACGTAGCTCTAGCCGAACTTCGCACAAGTATGTGTACACCTCAAAGAGGTCTTTTGAGGGTTGTAATGTGATTAAGCTAATGGTTTGAAGAAGAAAAGGGTAAAAGGCTCAAGATCCAAGAGAAGCCCCCAAGATGTGTAATTGTGTGTTTGAAATTTAAATTTGCAAGTTTTAATTTTCACAATATTTTTTTTAATTTGCTTCGAATTATATTTAATCAATGTGAGCAATATCGAATTATGCGGTCCATCACTCACTTAGCATTCATGTTTTCCAGGCACGGTACCAAGCACACGATAAGAGACGCAATTCGAGACGTGTTCATATAAAAGACATTGGAACAATTGCCCTTAGACATTGTTTTATTATTGATTTTTTTTTTGTTACTTGCTTTTGAAAATTACACAAATTACACATCTTCCCATCCCAAGGTTAGGTGAATGTGGGTTGAAGAAATGAGGCCAAACATTTAGACGAGGCTCAAAGTCGTTAATGAACAAGTGGAATATGTGTTTGAAATGTAAAAGGGGTATAATGGGTTGCAAAGTGTAAAGAATATTTCATACATCAGCTTTGAGCCCCACTGTGATCATGCATTTAAGCATGGTGGCTTCCAAAGGAAAAGAAGCTAGAGATAAAAGAGTCGCCAACAAGTTTAAGCAACTTGTAAATCGTTCACGGGTGTGAAGGTTACACCCCATTCATGATCACGGAGATCGCTAACTCCATAGTGGTTCGGAACCATGACTGGATATTCGGGGATGATAGTACGAATCCAATCTAAAAGAGATTGAACCCTCCCTAAATTGGCCTCTACTTAATTCTTATGATATTCATGTGTGATTCTCGATCAACCCTCCCTAAGAATTTATATCGCGATGCGATAAAATCAACGTGAGCGATAGTTCTATCGTTTCGCGATGGTTCGGCTTCCCTTCCTAAGTCTTCGTGTCGAGTATAAACTTTTTTTGATTAATTAATTTAATAACAAAGGTCTTAATTTAGTTCTTAATTGAGTCTATGAAAAGATACAACAAACAAAAAAAAATATATATAAAAAAAGGAGGTTGGATGCTAAAAAGACACCTAAACTAGATAGGCTGTAGTATTTCAGTTATAACTTTTGACCTGTGACTCTGATTGGGACGAAATCAATGCCAAATGAAGATAAAACTCAAGGCTACAGATCCATGGGTTTCACAATACGTAACTCTTTTTAGAACTCCGGCTATGACCAAAACAAGTTGACGCTTGTGCAGGATACGGGAATAAAAATCCGGGTTGACTCAAAATAAAAATAAAAATAAAAAATAAAAAAAGAACTATGACCTGACTCTAATAAATAAGAAGGGTTAGATAAGGAAAAAAAATAATAATAAATAAATAAATCAATAAAAATGTGCACATATAAGCACATTGCCACACATGATGCAATGAAGTTCGCAACTTAGAGTCTTGTTCTAAGTTCGACTATGGTCAAGCTTATTTGGGTGTCGAACGCGTACCATGGTTAAGAGTTTGGACGTGTTAGCAAGGCAGCCTCCCTTGAGGGTGTATGCGAACGGGCGGCTCCGCAAGTTCGTGATTAAATCGAACTCGACTCCATGGTTTGGGTGTATTTAATAAATAACTCGGATGAACCCTTATTGTCATGAACGTTTTCGGGTTGATAGAGCTTAAATCCCCCGGGGCTAAACGTATGTAGAACACATATGGTTTTTTAGAAAAAACGAAGGAAGCTAATAATGAGAAAATAACAGAACCACTGGAAATATTTCAAGACTGCCACAACACAGCAGGGATTGTCGTGTCACAGTACAATTTTCTGCGTGACAGTAAACTGTGACGTGACACGACAATTATATTGTGCCGTGGCGCGGAAGTCAGAAAATCTGACCAGAGTCTCTGTTTTTTCGTTCGCGATCAGGTTATTCGATTTTTCCTACGAGGTAAACCTAAATACGACGTTAAAACGTAAATGCATATGAAAAACATGCCAAATTAATCACAGGAATACGATTTAAGAATATTTCAAGTCTTATCCACTCATCTCAATTAAATACCGAACACTCAAATCGATAAATTACCAAGAATCCTCCCCAGCGGAGTCGCCAAATTATAGACGTCATTCGAAGCGCGCCTACGTTAAGCATGTTGTGAATATGCTTGGCACTCATAGGAAGTGGGAATTGACATACGATTAGGGACAACGATTGGGGACAAAGAAAAGTAGGAAGCTGCCAACAAGTTTATAAGGAACTTGTAAACCATTCACGGATCATTTAAAGCAACAACGATTAAGGGACAACGAAAGGTAACAATGATTGACCCGTGAAGGTTACACCCCATTCATAATCCATGAGATTACTAACTCCATATGGTTTGAAACCACGAAAGTAGGATCGGGGTTGATGGTACGAAGTGAGTCATGGAGTCACATTCGCCCGTATTGGCCTCTACTCGATTCTTATTGTGAAAAGTATTCCTGCGATCTCAAAGGCACGCAAACAAAGATTCAATTTGCTCCAAAGTATTATTAAGCTAAATTGGTTGAATGTTAATACAACATATAATTCTAAAATATTGTGATCATTTCAATTAAACGACAAGATTAAAAAGGAACCTAAACCGGTCGTCCAAATTATCTTATTAAGCGTTATATTCAATTACATATTCCCTTTAAACATGCAATATGGTGATCAATAAAATAACATTGACATTAGAAGCAATTCAACAATAATAATAGCGATTAGTACATAAAAAACATAATAAAAATTGTTAGAAATATATAAGGAACATGATTCCTTACTTTGATTACGTTTGCTTGCAACTATAACACAATAAACGCGTTAGTAACTTCAAGGAAAATAATAAATAATAATGGAAATTAAATTAAATCAAAGTAAAGTGGATTTGAGGCCAAACACTCAAACAATTCTACCTTTCACGCCTTGGTTTAAGTGTGGAAGTTCGGGTAAAGTACGGACTCCGAGGAATGCTTACAAGATGTATGGTGAGAGAATAGGGTAGGCTAGTGTTTAGGCTAGAGCATAAGAGAGAGAAGAGAGAATGATTCGGTGTATAAGAGGGAAGGAGCGAATTGTTTGGTGCCCCGAAACTGAGAAATCAGCCTCGTATTTGTAGAGAAAATATAAGGGGTGAAACACGGAACACTAGAATTGAAGCGCCGTGAAATAATTAAACCTAAAAATTGTCGTGTCACGGAAAAATAGCCATGACGCCGCAGAATTTTCAGTGACGTGGGAAATGTTGCCGTGGCGTGGCATAAATTATCGTGTCGTAGTAGGCATTGCCATGGCGCGGCATTTTGGTTTTCTAGAAAATCGCCTAGGTTCATTGTTATCTTTAAATTTGCATTAAGCACGTGATAAATTAGGCGTCGTTCCAAAGTTACAGATTTATTTCATTCTTATGGGTTTTTTTTATTAATCGGGCTTAATTAATAAATAACACGAAATGAATTAAAAAGGGTTTGGGCTAAAATGTGGATTGGATTGAGTTTGAATAAACATTTGGACTAATCTGTTGACTAATTTGCAGGCTATGTTTGACTGAATGTGGGTTTTAAGCACTCCCAAAATTAAATACTTGACCCGACCAATAATGGTGGTGAAATGTTGTTCATCACCGGGCTAGGTTTTGGGGAGACATTTTTAGGTGTATACATAAGGCCAAAAGTAGATGTCTACAAGTTTTATACCATTTGTACTACTTTTAAACATTAACCTTTTATAACTTTACTTAAATAAATAATTAAAGATTTTAATAATATAATGGAAAATTTGTCAAAAAAAACCTTTAAAACGATTCTTTATTTAAAAAAATCACCACGATCACTTTTTTTGTTTAATGAAACTTGGCTCTCGTTTTCGGCATTGACTCCAAATTTCAGGCGTTGACCCATGAGTTTTCTTACTTGCCGCCTACAGTTGGATAAAACAAAAAAAGAGAATAGAAAATAAAGGAAATAAAACAAAACCCACTAATTCCCAACACTACTACATTTTTGATAAAATGGAACGCTAAAAAATGAGCTATTGCAACACCCTATTCAATGTCGTCGCAATAGATAGCCTATTGCAACGGTAGGATTAACTAATACAATAGTCAATTATATATCATATCTACTGCAACGGTCCCTTATATGCTGTTGTAATAGATTGAGCTAATACAACGGCAACAAGAGCTAACACGACGGCTACTAAACTTTTAATATTTTTTTCTTTCCCTCTGTATTTTAGACCCAAAATTTTGAAATTCTAAATTAAAGTGTCCAATTATTTTATCCCCCGCAGTTTTCTTATCTCCAAATTAAAAAAACCCCAAATTCCCCTTCTTCAATTCAAATGGTTAGGGATTCCTCCAACTTTGCAACCTGCCTTCTCCATCCTCGAGAACCCGTCATCCATTGAAGTCCAATGAAGCAATACTCTGAATCCTTTCCTCTCTAGTCCAATGAAGCAGTACTCTGAATCATTTCCATTCAAGTTGTATTTTGAATTCTCCATTGAAGCCGTACATTAAGCTCTTCCCTGAAATGGCTTTTGAGCCTTTTGTTCTCCATTGGATCAGCTTCTTGGGTAAATTGTTTTTTTTTTCTTTTAAATCATCACCGACTATCGATTTTACAATCTAGGGTTTCACTAGTAGAAAAAATGAAATAGGCACCCCCCCTTTAGCACCAGTTCTTGAAAACCGGTGCCGAAAGAAATTGGCGGGATTGAAAAATTCGGTTTTGGCACCAGTTCGCCTTAAACCGGTGCCAACTATGGTAATTAGCACCGGTTCAAACCGGTGCGAATTAAAAAAAAGGCAAAAAAACCAAAAAAAAAATTTGAATTAAAATTTCGAGTATAAACCCTTTTGCTCTCCGCCTCTTTTCGTTCTCTAATCTCCTCTCTCATCTGTTCTTCTCTTTCCTCTCTCCTCTCTTTTCCCTCTTCTCTGTACTCATATCTCTTCTCTATACTCATCTGTTCTTCATCCTCTCTCCTTTCTTCGTTTTCTTTTCTCACGAATTGCTAGATTCTCTCTTCTGCTCGATTATCTGTTCAGTAATCACCCAAATCGAAAGTTTCAGGTATTAACTTTATAATTATATGTTGAGTTTTTGTTAAAACTGGAGAAATTATGTGTTAATTTGTTGATTTCTTGCGATTTGTATGTCACTTTCAGTTTTGCATGTTACATATTGCGAAATTCTTTGCATGTTAAATTCTTAGTTATATTCTTTGATTGAATTATAAAGGAAAGGGAAATCAGCTAAAACGGAAACACGATTCAGGGGGCATAAAGGAGGAAAGAAAACAAACAAAAGAGCAGAAAATTACAACAGCTAAAACAAGCATGAAGATTGATGATTTCACAAATTACCTATTATTTTTGTAATTATTCCGGTGGGATAAATTTTTCTTCTTTCAGGCCTCATTATTAATCCCATTCAGGTAACTACACTAAACCCCACTTCATTTGCTCTAGTTTATAATTTGTTGTTATTTTTTTTTATTTATTTATAGTCAAATTGATTGTTGAATATACTTCTGAATTCTGATGGGTTTTTCTTAAATAATGAGTTTAATGTTGGTTCTGCTGCATAAAATTGTTTAATGGGTTTTTAGTTTTGGGTAAAATTGATAGCCTAGAATTATTATCTTTGAATTGAAATTTAATAAGGCTAATATATTAATCATCTAATGGATTATTATATAACATGCATTGTGGGTATATTAGTGCAATTTACACCAACTTTAGCATTAAATGTATATGTAAATATGTTTGATTAAAAAGGGAAGTAGTTCATATGTTCAATTTGTCTGGGATACAATAGCTAGAATAGAATTTGGAACGAAATGGTGAATGTGTAATGGTTGAGGGTTGTTTATACTTTATAGGACTTGGGTTTTTCGGAACGAGTCTTGGCATTGGCCCCCAAATTATTAGGTACGAAGTATACATTAGAATCTTCAATCCTAGAGAAAGTGGGATCAATAATGTGCTTCTTGTTAACTTGTATTGCTTGTTGCTAGGAGAATAGGATATCGTTGATATAATGATATATAATATAATCCATTTATCATGTGCTTCTTGCCAGAGAGGTGGGTTGACCATTAGATTTAGATTTTTGACTATCTTGTGTTAAGCGAATTGAGATGTGACGATTTGTTTTGATGTTTTGTAGTATGATCAAGGCCACAAAATAATGTCAATACACACAGAAACACCATGTTATTTGTCTTAAAACAAAATTATGTCACTATTTCTATGCTAACATGCTGTATAATTGCTTTTGTGTGTTGTTGATGATTTTCTTTCACTAATATGCATATCTTGAACCCTTTCTTTGTTGTGCTTGTGTGTTCAGGCTATTCTTTATGTCTTAGTTCGACCCTTGTCAAAAGATATGTATCGGAAATTTAACAAAGTAGTAACAAAACTATTATGGTTGGAGACTGTTTGGCTCTTTGATTGGTGGGCTGGCACGAAGGTTTGAATCGACATTGATTTGCTTTTAGATACATTTACGTTTTCTGTTTTTGTTTTTCCTTTGTTAAAAAATCGGGTTGTTATAGGTGGAGTTGCACACTTTGTTTTTCCTTTAGCTGTTTGCATGTATCTAGATTTATGTCATTGAGACATGTATTACTTGCATTAGTTTCAAGCTTTTTAACATGTGAATCTTTGTGTCGAGCTTCAGTAACCCGTATGGCCTGTGTCTGACTCTTGACATGATACATTGGATAAGGGTGTGAGTGTTTGAAGCCTAGAACAATTTGAATTTGAACAATGTTATGAAGTGCTTTCTGGATGTTAGGATCCCTACACAAACATGATTATTGTCTCGAAGTTGAGATATTATGGATTTGGAGTTTAGTATTGTGTTATTAAGTGGAAGTGTGATGTGCAGTGCAGGTACCTCAGAGACTGTATATTTTGGATGAATTAAAGCTAACTGGAATTGAAGCTGCTTCTCTTTTGTCGCCTGTGGACACGACTCTTTGTTCAATTGAAAGGAACCTGCAGATTGCTGCGGTTTTAGGTGGTGTTACTGCTTGGAACGCCTTTGAACTTAGCCCCCAGCAACTCTTTTATATCTCTTTGGGATTGTTGTTATTGTGGACATTGGATCTGGTAACTTTTTTTTTCTTTCCTTTGTCAAACTTGAGAATTTTTTTTCCTACATTAATGGTAGAGGCTTATGAAAATATTGTTCATGGACTGAGTCACTGTATTAAGTTTTTGTGCTTAGAGAAATGCTTTGAATCATTTAAACAATGTGTTAATATGTGGCTTCTAACAGATTTCTTTTGGTGGAGGAATTTCCGGCTTAGCTCTTGATACGATTGGCCATACCATCAGTTAAAAGTACCACAACCAGGTTATTCAAGTAAGCACATGGTTCATTTTCTCGTTTCCTGGAGCTAATACGTGTAGTCTTATTGGATTTTTTTTATCTTTAAATGTATATATATGGTAGATGTTTCCTTAAAGGTGGCCTTTTCTAGTTTTCTTCACACTTTAAGTTTTTGCTATCCTTGAGTTGACCATAAGATCAATTTTCAACTGCAGCATGAAGCTGGACACTTTTTTATTGCCTACTTGCTTGGCATCCTTCCAAAAAGTTATACACTTTCAAGTTTAGAAGCTTTGTGCAAAGAAGGGTCTCTCAATGTTCAAGCAGGAAATTTTTTTTTTGACTTTGAGTTTGTCGAGGAAGTAAGTTATTCTCACTATGACCTGTTGAGTTCTCTTCCCTTTAACACTCTCTCTAAACTATCATGTCTTACTGTCTTAGCTTGTCCAACTAGCTTATGCTTTAGTATGTTTGAACGCCTTTTTCGTGCTTATTTTTTATGAGCTTTGTTTGCTTGATTTTGAAATTCTGAATCAATTTGTGACTGTAATTTGCAGACCAACACAGGGAAAATGTCATCTACGGTATGGTCTCTTCTTGGTGCAAGCTTTTATGAGGCTCCCTTGTACTTAATTTTCTCTGGAGAAACCTCATGTTAATTAAAAGGAAACTACTTATGATTATGACAGTATTATGTCTTTGATTAGATGCTGAACATATTCTCATGTATAACATTGACTGGTTTAGCAACAGAGTACTTATTATATGGATATGTAGAAGGAGGTTTAGCTGATATTAACAAGGTTCATCCTACTAATCTATCTAGTCATTTCATTGATTTAACCATCATGTCTTAGATTCTCCAATTGGTCTTGAAAGTCCCTCCTTTAGTGAACAAAGTGCCCCCGATTTTACTGTTATGCATTTCTCATTCCTTCATGAACACACAGTAAAATTCTGTTTGCCTAAATTAAACAGATGCTGTTAGCCTAAATCAAACTAACTCATAAACCTTGATTTTATTGTGCTATTGGGGTTTATTTCTGTTTTTTCCTAATGTTCAAATTTTTTTTTTCCTTCTGAAAAGTTGGATGGCATGCTCAAGAGCTTGGGGTTCACACAGAAGAAAGCGGATTCACAGTTGAGATTGGCGGTCCTGAATACTATCCTTCTCTTACCCCGCCATGAAGAAGCTCGAGCGAAACTTGCTGATGCCATGTCTAACAGGATGTATGTGGGCTCTTACATCAATGTTATTGAGGAAGCTGTTGATGATGAAGACTTGGTACAAAATTTGTGACTTTGTGCTTACTTTGCGGGTTGCATGCACTTACATTAGCAGCCTTCATGCCCAGGAAATTCTTTCTTGCGATGGTATTTTCTTTTAAATTTGCTTGTTATATATTTACCTCTCTGGCATGTTAAAACGAAAACCATTCTCAACAAAAAAAAAATACACGCTTTCTTCATTTTCTCTTCCCCTGATCACTGATGAATCAATCTTATTTGGTAGTTCATGTTTCGTCACCTTACTCTCCTTAATACTTTGTACTTAGAGCTCTTGCGATGGCCCTTTTTTATATTTCATGTTTCCCATTGATTATTTGCATCCAAAAAATCAAGTTTTAGTTAATAATATTTGGATTTAATGGTGAGATCAAGGGCTCAAGTATTCTCAATTGCAATTATATTTGCTGCTACATTTTGCAATGGTGATCGTGGTGCTCTTGAACTCAAGACACAGGTAATAATCTATAATTATATAGGTGAGGGAATTGACCTTACTTTACACTGCAAATTCAAGGATGACGATCTTGGAGAAAAAGTGGTTATCAGTATTTTTTTGAGTCATTAATGAACCACTTTGAGGAGGTTATCAGTATTTTTTTTTTTTTTGCTCATACCTAAAATAACTTGGATAGCTGTTTTTATTTCCTCTTTTGGGTACGAACTTGTGTGAGCATAAAATATAAATTTTGCTACAAGATTGTGATCACTTGTTCTAAGCAATTGTTTCTCTTCTTTCATTCTTCTTTCTGCTGTCTTTTGAACTTTCTTGTATAATTGTTTGGTGAATTATTAGTTAATGAAAAATTAATGTCTGAGGTACTATGAGAATTTTTCTTTTGAATTTATGAAAGCAATTTTGCTACTGATTGTTTCTTAATTGCTTGAACTTCTGGAATAGGGGAAATCAAAAGGAAATGTTCTCTTAGTTTATAGGAACAAACTAGCATCCTGTTGTAACTCATCACGAGAGAAGAGAGAGACAGCACGAGCAACCAATGCTACTTACTGCCACCGAATAGCAGCAAAGTGACGATGAGTTACAACACACTGGTTTCATGGAGCTTCTTATGGGAAATGAATCACCGTTAGCCAATGGGTGTAGATCTCCATTATGACAGTGGGTGTAGATCTCCATTATGACCGAGGCAGAAACACAGCCACAACCACCAACACAAGACCAGGACAGCTAGTTAATTAAATGAAATGCAAGAAAGGTCGATCAGAGATAAGTCGGGATTATTTAATTTTTTTTGGACGAAAATTGTAATATTACAGCCTTTTTTAAATGAAAATTTGTAACTTAATATATATGTTAATGTTTCTATATCAATTTAATTGAAAAAAATGCAACAAATTTTATTTATTTATTTTTATTTTTTTGGGGTATTTTTGGCACCGGTTTTGACCAGAACTGGTGCCGAAAGTTTTTTTTAAATTTTTTTTGAGACTTTTGGCACCGGTTCAAAGCAAGAACCGGTGCCTAAAGTGGGGTTTTTTTTGCACCGGTTATTTCTTTGAACCGGTGCCAATAGTATTGAAAAAAAAAAACCGCGCCATGGTAGTTGGCACCGGTTAACCGGTGCCAAATCATATAGTTAGCACCGGTTAACCGATGCTAAATGCTTTAGTTGGCACTGGTTTTGAACCGGTGCCAAATTTTCATGGATTTGGCATCCCTCAAATACCCAACGGTTCAAAACCGGTGCCAAAGGTGGGGTTTGAACTGGTGCCTTTTTATCTTTTTCGTCTAGTGTTTGCCTCTTGGCTTTTGTTTTATTTTCATATTTTTGATTTTAGGTATTGATTTGTAAAAAAGGATTTGAATCATCATCGACTATCGTATTCTAGGGTTTATGGAGGTGATGGTGGTTGTGACGGTGGTCGCGGTATCCATTACGACACTTCGATTTCTAGGATTTCAGATTATAACTAAGAAGAGATTTAAGACTACCGCTCCTCTCCTCACTGCCACGTGCACGGTATTCTTTCCCTCTTCTCTCTTTAAGCTAAAAAATTAATGAAGTGTTTGTCAATGTTCAAGGAAGATTTCAGCCTGATTTTGCAATTCCGATCCCTTCTTGTTTTAATTTTGAAATTAATTACTTCTTAATTGCTATTTTAATGCATAAAGTTTCGATCTTAATTTCATATTCTGTGTAAGCTTGGGTGGGTTGCTTTAGAGTAAAGGGAGAAGCTTTATTATTAAGATTGCTGGGATTTTTATTTATTTTTTTTCTTTTTGGAAACTTTAAAGGAAAGATCAAGCATAGCTTGATTAGTATGTTGAAAATACAATATCTTGTTTAACTTGTAAATGTGTGATGAAAATAAGCGTATTTTATACAATATTACATGTTCTACTCATCCATCATGTATGATAAATATGATTTGTATAATGACTTTTCTTATTTTAACTTGCAGATTATGATTTGTTAAATTTGTGTTTCTGTTGTATATAATAATATGTTTTATAGTTCAGAACAACACACACAAACACAGTAGTTTTCAATATTAGCTGTATTGTTCTCAGCTACTTCATAATCAAACAAATCTATATTAGTTTACGTTGTATCAAAAGCAAATATTCAGGACATATAAACAGAACAACAAGAATAAAAGTTTACAACGGTAACAATAAAAGAATAGATCAATATGGATTTGAACTCTGACAACGTCTACTTTGACCTTCAAACCCTACATATGCTGAAAATGTACCACCCTGCTTACAGTGGCAATCTGTGAATCATAAGGTACAATTTCACAAGAAACTATTCATGTAACCACCTCTATTTTCAACACATGAAGATAAGTGCCCAATGGTACAGTTCATGCACAATAACTGTACCACTACAACATGTTTAAACAACAAATACAACAAGTACATTGCAATGCATTAATCAACCAGTTGAATCAATTACATTACAAGTGATTGGAACCTGATGTACCAGGGGTACCTAATACACTTGCAAAAAAACCCACCAGAATTTGTTCCCCTAACAGAAGTGAAGTACCCTAAGGAACCATCCACATCCCTCATTTGAATCCCTCCAACCGATCGTATATAGTCATTTGTTGACAATGACATATTGTTATATGCCGCCGCAACTTGCTTCTTTGCTGCATTTTTCGCCCTAGCAGCCTTTTCTTTTCCCTTTTTCTCTGTGCAAGATGGATACCTCACGTAGGTTATACGATGGGCCTTCTTCTTGGGCAGCGGTGGATCCTTAATCACTGCCGGGACGGATCCATCACAACTCCCCACAAACCCACTAACTGGTGTATGGATTCTATTCCGCAACCCAGATGCATGTGTGGCTGGTGTATTTGTACAACCAGGCCCCTTGTTGAAAGCCATGGAAGAAGGCGTCCGAACAACACCTTGTACACCATCATCCTTACCTTCGTTTTCATTATCCTTACCTGCCTATTCCTGTCTTTTGGCAACCATTGCCAACACTTCATTGACTCTAAGGTCCATCAATTGCAACAACTCTGCCACAGCCTCAACACCCTCCTTACAAGCTGAAGCCTTTGAGTAAATAGGTTCATACATCCCCATCAATTTGTGATATTGCCTGGCTTCATCGGTTTTAAGTGGATCATGGTAAGCTACTTTCACTCGTGTGTGTTTGCTTTGAATATCCTTCCTCCAACGACGTAGAATATACTTCTCAGGAACAATGGAAACACCACAATGGTCATACACATAGATCATATGTCGACAAATGATTCCATGAAACTGAAAGTGTTTACACTCACAACTTGCTTCATACGTATTACTGTCATAGCACACCCTATAGCATCTTCGAATCTTAGTCATAGATTCTTTCTTTGCATATTTTTGCTTGATCCACACTCGGTCGTCAATAACAAACTCAACTCAATTCTTACCAACTTCATAGTCATCTAGGCGACGCACGTACAACATTCTTTTGCACTCCCGCTAAACTTCTTTAAATTTGGCGTCCGTGTAACACTTCCGGAACACTTCCTCTGCTGGGAAATTGGTAGCTAAATTCCTAACATACCGTATTGTGTTGGAGTCCGCAATTCTTTCTGACTCTGCCCTTATCTGCATTGCATCGCAATATCGAAGCACAAATTCAGACAACGTTGTATGCTTGTCAACATAACCATTGAAAAAGTGATTGAAACTTTTCGATCGTTGGGTCGTTTTCATCCCGGTCCAGAATAAATGCTTCAAATACGCTGGGATCCACATGTGCCTTTTTTCTCATACAACCCTACATTTCAAAAAATTGCAATTACTGGCTTATCTAAAACCAAACAAACCTCATACACCTGGACTCCTGTGAATGGTACATTCACTGTCTCCGAAATATGCCAAAAATAAGAAAATTAGTAAAAAATAACATTCAGTGGTACAAAAGTCTACCACTAAACCTGCTCCTGCTCTAAGTAAGAACTGAAACAACTTCTAGTCCCCTGCACATAGCCAGCTACACAACCTCTGCATACTCTAAAAAATCACTAACAATCACAAAAAAAAAAAAAAAAAAAAACAGAACATATGGAAGTGTAGTACCTTCAAGCCAACCATTATCTCCTAGTTTTTAATAATCAGTTGCGTCTACCAACGATCTACAAATTCATCAGCATCTAAACTAACATAAATGATATTTTCAAACTCATCCTTTACAACTTCATAGTCCTCATGCTTACCAACATACCTCCCAAACTTCTAAAGTATGTGCCACATGCACCACCTAAGGCAACTCTCAGGCATAATCAAGTTTACAACTTTCATAATCGTCGGATCTTGATTAGTTAGGATTGAGGTAGGAGCTTTACCCCCCATGCAATGTAGCCAAGTCCTCAACACCCACTCATACATCTCCGCCGTCTTCCGAGAGATCAATGCACACCCAAACAAAATACTCTGCCCATGATGGTTCACACCGATAAACACAGCAAAGGGAAGGTGAAATTTGTTTGTCAAATACATACTGTCAAAACACACAATATCTCCAAACTCCTCATACGCAGCTCTATTCCTCGCGTCTACCCACACAACATCTTGTAATGCGCCGTCCTTCCCAAACCGACATAGATGGAAAAAATTCTTATTCTATCATGCCATTTGCATCACCCTTAGTAAGCTCAAGTCTGATTTTCTGAGCCACTGCATTCTCTAAGTCTCTTTACGTAAATGTCATCTCCTCCACTCCATTACGCTCTCGAGCATAACAACTGTACATTTGGGATACCTTCACCTTAGACTTCTTCGCCATATGCACCTACTTGACCAAGTGATTGTTTTTCACCATTAACTCATGCTTCCGGTACATCGCTACATCCTTTGACTTTCTCGGAGTAACAATGTGACCTTTGTGCTCCAAATTCAGCCTTCGAACAACCCAGCTCCCTTCCTCATTAACACTGGCATACAACTCCACTGGACAACCACACTTTTTAGTCTTCCATTTTTGAACTATCTCATCATCTTGCAACAACCCTTCCTTCAGTGCATCCCGTTTACACTTCCTTGAAGCATAACCATAATAGTCACAAGTTCACTTAGCATTCCTTCTCTCCTTACAACACTTTCCCTTTTCCAATTCCTTCTTCACATCCACCCACCCATAAGCAACCCTTAATATACCAAAACCCTTTTGTCTAGCATAACTCCAGAAATAGGTATCCAACTCATCCCAACCCCCAAATACCATGCCCAAAGTTGGGGGTGGTACTTCCTCTTCCACACCAAACACAGTGTTTACCATTATCGTGTTCTTCTTTGGGGTTATGAATGAGGAACCTTCTACACTAGCCCCATCAAACTCCCCTTCAACACCAGGCACAACTTCATCTTTCTCATAATCTGCCCCTTTATCCTCAACCTCCAGACCTCCCCCCTCTTCAACCTCCTGCTCATCTTCTACTCTATATCCATCATCACTCTCTAATATCTCCTCATAAACAAATACTTCATCCTCTCCACCATCTTCATATCCATCACCGATATCCACCTAATTCACATACAGAACCATGACTCATTCTAGATAAAGCATTACAACAAATAACCAATAACCAAATCATACACAAAAACACCAAACCCAACATACTATATCATCACATAATTCATAACAAATCAATCCAACCACAACAACTTCCCATGCAAACCCACAATCCCATCACTATCAAGGAAAAACCACAAGCTTAATACTTTTTTTCCCTTCTTTGACAACAACTAGTTCGAAAAAACACAAGCTTTTTATTTTATTTTTTTTCATTTTTTACACCAACAGGTTCTAAAATAAATTAATTACACTAATAGAATTAGGAGATACTCATCCTTTACTCCATTCCCATTCTAAAAACAACACATTCCCAAAAATTATAATACAAACAACAAATTTCATCAACTCATGTACAATACCATTTTACCCAAATAATAATGAACAATCAACATTCATATCAAAGATTTTCTCAATTAAACAATACCAATTAGCCATATACTGACTCAATTACATGGATTGAAGTTCAAATAAAATTTACAACGAATGGCCCTAGCCCTATTATTCTAATTAAAAGACTCTACATTTCATAATTACCCACTTCAAATACTCAATTATAACCCTCAATTTCAAAAAACAACACGGACAAAGGTAAATACTTACATTCTCAGCGTCAAATTGCAATTCCCTTGCCCATCCATGCCGGACTTTGCCATCTTCCACCAATGTTTTGGCTAGATCGACACCCAAAATGTGGCCTAACTGATTTCTCATCACTATAATCTACTTTACTACTATTTATTTGCAATTTGGTCTTTAGAATTGAAGAATATAAGAACAGTGATGTCACCATTGTTCATGAGCTTCCATTCCCCATTTTTTTCCCTACATTTCCAATTCCCGCTTCTTTTTTTCTTTTTTCTTCCCCCGCTTTGCTTTTATTGTACCGTTACATGTGGGCCCACTTTCCTTTACCAAACTTCATTTTATTTTCACAATTGCCATCCTATACACCACTATTCCCATAGCTACTATGCGCCAATAGTTATCCTGCCAAATGAATCTAATTTTAACATAGTGAGTAGTGACCTTTATATTCATCACATTGACCCGTGTATTAAAACTCTTAATTATTATAAAACTATTTATGTCTTATATATATGACCTTTATTACAATTTAATACCTTTTATTTTAACATAATAAACTTTGTTTTCATCATATAGTATTTTTTATAGGAATAATTGCCATGATTAATCCCAACTTTGCTCCGTCCGCCAATATTAATTCCAACTTTCGTTTATTTTTTATTAATCTCAACTTTATACCCAATCTGCCCAAAACGCTCCCAAGTGACTTGCAACCAGTTAAGCAAGTTACCATTTGTGAGTTGGACTTTTTTTTTTCCACACGTGTCAATATTTTATTGGCTGAAAAAAAGGAGAAAATAAAAAAAAATTAAATTAAAAACCCTAAAACTAACTAGCCACTCCACCACCACCACCGGTAACGGCCGCAGCACAGCCCAGCCCCTGGCCTACACCTTCGACTACCGAGAAACCTACCCTTCCCTTTCTCCAGTCCTTAACCGACCGTTACCCACAAAAAATAACCGCCTCTCCCACAAACGACCACCAAAATTGGCCTCAAACGGCCGAAATCGGCCGGCTTTGGGCCTGAATGGTTGATTTCAACCTTAAATCGGCCGATTTTGGCCGTTAGTGGCCAATTTCGTGGCGGAATCGGGGGAGGGGAAGCCTAGAAGTGGCAGAATCAAGGGAGGGGAAACCTAGGACTGGCGAAATTGAAGGAGGAGAATCCTAGAAGTGTTGGAATCGGGGGTGGGGAAATGGTCAGAGATGGCAGGGATGCCGCCTGCCTTCTGGGTTTGGTTTTAATTTTTTTTTTAAATTTATTTAAATTAATTTATTATATTTTTTTTTTAAAAAAATTTAACGAATCAGGTGCTGCCACGTGTCTAATAACTTGCTACATCAAGTTAGATGACCGGTTGGGTGTAATGAGAGCGAATAAGTATAAAGTTGGGATTAATAAAAAATAAACGAAAGTTGGTATTAATATTAGCGGACGGGACAAAGTTGGAATTAATCATGTCAATTTTTCCTTTTTTATATTAATATAGTGACTTTATTAGAAATATCAACATTTAAACATAGTGACGTTAATGTTAGTGCGTGGTCCATCTATTTAAGAGTTTATAAGGTGAGTTGCTATATGTACTTGGTTAATTAATTTTCTAGTTGCTACCACACCTATCCACAAATTAGGTGATATCGTTTTCAATCATAAGTCTAAATAAGTTGTACCGTTTACTTGTCAAATAGTAAAATTGAAATCAAAGGTGGCAATGTAACGTACATATAATATCCACGTACTAAGTTTATGTTATGAGACTTAGATTTACATAATTGTACTAATTAACTTGATTGCCTTACTAAAATTTATTACCCTTATTCAATTTTTTTTTCACCCTCTTTTAATATCCACCACTATTAATTATAGTACTGTTAACCTACTTTGGGCCCCTCATTTTTTCGTATATTATTGCCTATATATATATGTGCTACATTTTTATTTATTTTTTGTATACCAAACCTAAAGAAGAGTTAGTTAAATTCACAAATAGTTCTACAAGTTAATTAGCTTGTTTCCTAGGGAAGTAATGAAAATGGCCTATTCAAAGGCTTTGCTGCTTGCCCTTATTGCTGTGACTCTTGTCATATGCTCAGCTCGTCAGTTGGCTGAATCTTCCACCACTGAGAAATCACGTGAGTTTCTATTGCCTTCTAATTTCTATTTTACGAGTATCCAACTAGAGCACTTAAAATATCATTACTTTTTTTTATAATCTTTTAACAGTTTTGTACATAATTTGAAATTAAATGCACACATTGGATGTATTTAAATCTCGTTATTGCATATGCAAGGAGCCAAGCATAACCTTGTTTTGATCATTAGGGTTTTGGAACTTGCATGTCTAAAGTACATCATTTGTATACTTTTTCAAAATAAAGTTTATATCTTTTTAATTTTTTACTGAGCGGATAGTAAGTCTTAGTCGCATTTATTTTTATTTTTTTTTCCTCTCTCCGTAGTGTTTTAGTTTTACAGCAAATTATAAGATTAGAAAAGAATGTCATCAATGTACTAATAAAATAATGCATATATTTCTTATTTTTCAGAGTCTGTGGAGGAGTCTAAGTATGGACACTATGGTGGCGGCCACTATGGAGGACATGGTGGCAGTCACTATGGTCATGGTGGACACGGCGGTCATTACCCGCCCAAAGAAGAGGAGTCCGTGGAGGAGTCTAAGCATGGACACTATGGACATGGTGGTGGTTATGGACATGGTGGTGGATATAGCCATGGTGGTGGTTATGGACATGGTGGTGGATATAGCCATGGTGGTGGTTATGGACATGGTGGTGGATATGGCCAAGGTGGCGGTTATGGACATGGTGGGGGATATGGCCAAGGTGGCGGTTATGGACATGGTGGGGGATATGGCCATGGTGGCGGTTACGGACATGGTGGTGGATATGGCCAAGGCGGTGTTTACGGACACGGTGGACATGGTGGTCACTATCCTCCAAATGAGATAAAAACTTCCCAAGAACAAAAGGGTAACTAATAAGTAATGGCTATAAAATGTGCGGAGTGTCGATATTATTATATGTGAATAATGTACTGATCAAAGAGTTGGGTATTATCATGTTTTTTCTTGTAGTTGGTCATGTACTGATCATCCTTTCATGTACCATTTATAATTTCCAAATTATCCAACATTAAAATAATAAAATTAGACGTTGTATTTGAAGTTACATGCATGTTATATATTTTTTTTTATCTGAATTTTTGTTCATTACTTTTTGTAATAACATGTCGATTGTTATTATCGTACGATTAGAGTAACGTCGTTCTCCTAGAAGAATTCGTTGACTTTCTCAACGATGTATTATTATGTCTAACCTTGCTTAGTTATTGGACTACTTACGATCATACTTCCTCCGTGTTTAAATAAATGAAACGTTTTCCTTGTGCATGTATGTTAATGCAACACTTTAACTAATAATATTTGTAATCATCAAAAAGTAAAAATTATTACAAGTGAATATTAATAAACTATTCATTGAGACGGTTCTAACAAGTACCCACAAGACTATATTTATTTTTATGTATAAATCACAAATATTAGTCAAAGTAAATTAGATGAATAGTGCAAAAAGTTAAAACATTTCAATTTTAATTATTTAAACATGGAGGAAGTATCATAAATAATTAATGGATTTAATAAATCATATGGTAGGCGTTTCTGGTACCTTCAATAAGTTTTTGTTGTAAGCATATTTGAATTCTATTGGATAAACATAATCATTCCATCTTTCAATTTAATTTTGAACTTAATTTGATACCCATAAGAATATAGGTAAGTAACATAGTCTATTCAAAAGCTCTATTTATAAATGTTCGATGAAGATTAATACTCCCTCCGTTAATTTTTAAGTGCAACTTTAGGGGGTTTTACGGTTCACGAGGCAAAACTTGATGATGATGATTAATGTATTATAGGGGTATGTAATTAAGGTGGAGAGAGAATGTTTGGATAATTAATCAACCACCTACTGCCACCACCAAGACCGGAGAACACCACCGCCGCCTTCACCAACACCACCGCCGCCTTCACCACCACCACAACCAACCCCACGAAAGCACCACCACCCTCACGAAAACCCACCACCCCCACGAAATCACCACCGTACCACCCACAAAAAACCCAGGCCACCACCTCCAAACAACCCCACGAAACCCAAACCCACGACCACCCACCAAAACCCACCCACCAAAACCCAAATCCACGACCATCCACCAAAACCCATCAACGGAACCACGAGAACAAACCCACTGAAAACGACAACCCACGAAAACCAACCCACCAGAAATTAAACCCCCAATTCGAACCCAAAACCACGACCCACACCGCCTTCACCAACACCACCGCCGTCTTCAACGCAGGCTTCACCACCACCAGTACCACCCCCACGAAACAACCACCACCCTCGCGAAAACCTACGAAATCGCCGGTTGAAGTTGAAGAGAGAGAAAGAAGATCAATGGGGGAAGATGAGGATGACAGAGGAGAGAGCAAATATGGGGGAAGATGAGATGAATGTCTCTTGTTTTGAAAGAGGAGAGAGAAAAAATGGGGACAGGTGAAAATGAAGATGAAGATGAATGAGGATGGTTTTGGGTTTCTTGAATTGAAGATGAAGAGTTGATGATTTAGATTGGGTTGGTTGGGGTGAAAATTGGGTGAGAATTAGTGATTAATAATATCTGATTATAGTTAGTAAATTGTGTTTTAATTTTTTAAATGAGGGTAAAATTGACATTTAACTAGTTTTTTTTTTACTAAAAGAGGAAAGAAAATAGAAAGTTGCACATAATGCTTAGCAGACCAAAATAGTAAAAGTTGCACATAAAAATTAACGGGGAGTATATTGATGAACATATAGCCAGTTTGGTGATTCATGTTACAAAGGTGTAAATTAAGTAAACAAATTCCCGATTAAAAAATATTTAATAAAGTTCTCAAATAATATTCAGAGATGTATAAAGTTCTTTAGAATATAATCTTACAAATAAATAATGTATGGAGATGATAAGGTACATGTTATTTAAAAGGATTTGATTTAATAACCTGTTAAGGATATTTTAAAAGGAAAATGGGGCAATGTGTTTTGAGGTGCACAATATGCTAGAAAGGCCATGTGTATATAATCTAGATGTATTCAAACCAATTAGTCAAAGCAATACATCCAAAGTACTTCTTCTATTCTTTTTTTATTGTAATATTATTTTCACCCTTGTTAAAATACATATTATATTAGAATAATTTGTCAAAAAAAACCTTTTAAATGCCTCATTTTGCAAGAAAAAACCTTTTAAACAATTCTTTGTTTAGAAAAACCACCACGATCACTTTTTTTGTTTAATGAAACCTGGGCTCTCTTTTCCGGCATTGACTCCCAGTTTCAAACACTTACCCATGAGTTTTCCTACTTGCTGCCACTTATTTTGATAATCGCACTCCCCTTTCATTTTTCCCTCTAATTTTCCCTCCAACGAATTTCCTCTGTGTTCTCTTTCCCCTTTCCTCCATGAATGCTCTGCAACACTATCACATCAAACTGGGTTTCTCTCTCTCTCTGCTCGCCATTAATACTACAACCATAAATTGAGGTAAGAGTAAAATCATCAATTCTATACTCGAAATGGTCAGCAGCATCCCTCACCCCACAATACCACCGTTTCACCACTTACATCCACCGAACCAAACCCTCCTGCCATCAACGCCCAAACCGCAACCCACACCTCAATTCACCACCCAACACTCTCCATGCCACCACCTTCTTTATCCCCACAACAAAAGTCATAATTGATACTGCAACCCACCATTCACACCTCTTTTAGCACCGACCCACCACCAGCCGCCGCACACAGTAGCAACACTGCCCAGCAGCACCATCAATCGAATTCACACCCCCACAAATCGTAGCAACAAGCACCCATTCAGCCCCAAATCGATGACCCATTAGAGCGGGTGCTCTTCATTACGACGCGGGCGCTCCTCAATCATCCAATTTCATCAATTTCGGGCAGAAGCAAGGAACGTCCGCTCCAATAGGTATGGGCGGCCACTCCGTTTATCAGGTCCAATTGAACGGAATTAAAAGAAATTGGACGACTGCGAATAACTTACTCAAATCACGAGTGAGATCGGAGATGATGGTGTTTGATTTGGTGATTATGGTCGTTGATGATGATGATGCGTGGATGATGATGAAATCAGAGCAATAAAGTGAATGAAGAAGAGGGGTGAATTCGAGGGTCTAATTGTTTGCACTACTACATTTTTGATCTATTACAACCCTCAAATCCGTTGCATTAGGCGTCAAAATCCGTGGTATTAGGCCTAAAGCAACGGCCATGTACCGTGACATCTGCTGAAGTTGCAATAGGTCTAATGCAACGTCATATGACACCTAATGCCACGGTATCAATGATCCGTGGCGTTAGATCAATACCTATTGCAACGGCAACATTATTGTCGTGGCAATAGCTATAATACCTAATGCCACGGTTTCCTATACCTAATGCCACGTGCATATAACCTAATGCCACGGTTCCCTATACCTAATGTCACACAATGCATGTACCCTAATGCCACGGTTTACTATACCTAATGCCAATAATAATAATAATAATAATAATAATAATAATAATAATAATAATAATAGTAATAATACAATTAAAATAAGAATTTTTTTTTAAAAAATTAGAATTTTATTAATATGAATTCAAAGTTTGTACATTGTTACCTATAAGGAAAATTACAAAATTAAATTAGAATTTTATTAATATGAATTCAAAGTCTTTGCTTGCTTCTGCTTTGCAGCTCTGTGTGTGCAAGTTGTTGTTCGGGTTGTTCTGGTTTTGTCCAGCCTGCTGCTGGTTGCAGGTGCTGCCACTGGTGTACTGGTCCTGGCTCTTGATGCTGGATTCTGTTGCTGTGGCATTGCTGGTCTTCAGCTAGTCAGCTGCTCCTTGTCTATCTGCTGGTTCAACCACATCCTGCTTTCTCCAGCCTGTTGCTGCTGATATCTGTTATTGGTGCTTGCTGTTCCTGTATTGCTGGTGCTGTGTTGCTGGAATGCTGTTGAGGTGTTGCTGGCGTGGCTTGCTGGTTTTGGCTAGCAGATCCTTGCTGCTGATTATGTCTGCTGCTGTTTCTGCCAGCTGTTGTTTCTGCTGCCCAAGCTACTGTTTCTGCTACTGTTTATTTCACCTACACTAGAAGCCAAAATAAGGAGGTGAAAAAATCAATAGATTTTCTAATTCCTATATTAGTAAAGCACTAGCCCATAACTCCATAAGTACTAACAGAAGATTGAATACCTTCATTACTCTGTCAACCTTAAAGGGAAGAAAGGACACTGAACATGCCTATTATTTGCCAAATGTTGTAACAAAAGAAATAATCTCAGGAAAGGGATTTTATGATGCAAAAATAATGAAGGCCTAACTTGGTATCTTTACCGACAAGAGGAAGTTTATTTGTCTCGCACTCAATTAGATTTTCCTAGCTAATCAAACAGTTATCAAAAAAGAACTAGAGAAATCAAAATACTATATATATAAATCTCAAGGCACGGTACAACAAGTTGTAACGTAATACAATGCAAATGGCATCCCAGTGCAAAAGCCACTGCGAAAGAGAGGCCATAAAAACAAGTTAAATGTTCCCAATCTTATCATACAAAAAGTTCATCACTTTCCTATCAGAGTAACATTTAACTTCTCAGATTATCACTAGACGAAAAAGATAAAAAGGCACCGGTTCAAACCCCCCCTTTAGCACCGGTTAACCGGTGCCAACTACATGCTTTGGCACCGGTTAACTGGTGCCAACTACATGCTTTGGCACCGGTTAACTGGTGCCAACTAATATGGCACGTTTTTTTTTTCAATACTATTGGCACCGGTTCAAAGCAAGAACCGGTGCCAAAAGTGTCACAAAAAATTTTAAAAAACTTTTGGCACCGGTTTTGGTCAAAACCGGTGCCAAAAATACCCCAAAAAATAAAAATATAAAAAAAATAATTTGCATTTTTTTCACTTTAATTGATATGGAAACATTAACATATATATAAAGTTACATTATTTCATTTAAAAAGGCTAAAATATTACAATTTTCTTCCAAAAAAAAATTTGAAGTGTCCAAGGTTTCTGGCTGCTGTGTGTCTTCTGTCTGCACTGGTACTGTTGTTTTGGTT